CTTTCCCAGCCCCAAGGGACTCGAGCTCACCTGTGTTCCCTGTGTGAGACAGAAAAGCTGAAAGAGTTTACATTCACAGGGCTCGACACTAACTTTTCAACTTATTAGCCAAGTGGCTAGTGAAATCTTAGATGGTACGACAATTTCAGTTTGTTTACTAGCCAAACTGGCTAGTGGAAATCGAAAACCACTAGCCAAAACCGAATTTCTACTAGTCTGTGGCTAGTGGGCTACTATTAGTGTCGAGCCCTGATTCACTTATTTTCCGCTTTTGATATATATCTATCGTCTGACCTGGTACGAAAGGGATAAAGTTGTCACGTTACTTACAAGTTCCTTAACTTGATAAATTAGTCTAACTTCTGCAACTCTTGAAATATTCTGGAACATCTCAAGTTTCCGGACATATGCTGAGAAAGGGCTGTTTGGAATGTATTTATATGTTCATGTTTCCTACTGAGATTAATTACCCTGCGGATGTGGACATGTATCTCACTAACATGAATTTCCACCATCCATTCGCAATTCCCCAAACGTCAGGGCACTATGTTCTTAACTTGGTATGGAAAGTTAGATTTTAAATGTTCGAAAACACGTTTTAACACAGATCAGAGGTATTAATGTAACTAATTCCTGCTGTGTCAAGTATGATACCCTTTTGTCAGCGCTGGTAAAGGAACATCAGTAACAGATACTGGTATTTTGTGTCCTGCTAACTTTTCCTTGTAGTTGCTACGGGAAACGATGTGCACCTGAGCTGTAACCAATTAGGGTAGTACAACAGTGATCAACTAAATCCTCAGTGTATTATTAGTGTAACTAATCCTTGCTGTGTCAAATATGATACCCTTTGTCAGCGCTAGTAAAGGAACATCAGACACAGACACTGGTATTTTGTGTCGTGCAAACCTTTTCTTGTATTTTCTACGGGAAACGATGTGCACCCGAGCTGTAACCAATTAGGGTAGTGCAACAGTGATGAACTGAATCCATGCACGTGCACTGATAAGATTCGCATGTTAAGAGAATTTTCATCGACAGCTGTTTGCCCCTTTGAACTTTGAGGCATCCTCCAGATATTAACTTGAGGAGAATGACACGTTAAACGTGCCCAGGATTTGATGCAAGACGAACACACGTGGCCGAGTACATCATGGTTATATTACAAACGCACCTTAAACTAAGAGAGAGGAATTACCACGTTGCCAACAAAAACGAAGTGGAAACTTCCACTGCCACAATCTAGACCAAACTGTGACCTGTTTCTTTTATTCGGCTCCGAGCCCAGAATTAACAATCCGAGCAGTACTCAGAAGGCTTGATACATATTAACCAAAAAGTGGTCATCTTGGAGCGCGGAATCCAAACCTTTGTGGTTTGACTCGTTGGGGGTACTCAGAACATTTTCTTTGGCCCATGCTCGTAACAAAACGAAAGAACACCTTTCTTAAGAACTATGTTCTTTGTTATCCATGTATATATGTATGTATGCATGTATATATATATATATATATATATATATATATATATATATATATATATATACACATATATATCTACGAAGCTTCCGACAGTGCCGATCCTAGCAGTTTGCAGGGCGCTTGTCACTTATGGACCTAGTATGACTCCGAGCACACTACCGAGTTCTCTTTATAATAGTTCAAAAACAGGGTCTTGGAACGAATCATTGCGTAAAATTCGAAGATCAGGCCTCCGCTTGCCCTCAAGAAATGTTCATATCTGATAGCGATGAACCAAATAGCGATGAACCAGATAGCGTTGAACCAAATCCATCCACGTGCAGCGATAAGTTTTACCTTAGAAATTTTTTTCATGAAAATCTGTTTGCCCCTATGATCCTTGAGACTCGGGCAAATAATAAGGAGAAGAGAAAAACATTGCACGTTCAATGTACCAACGATAAAATCCAAAGCTAAACGCACGTGCCGGTGCCGCATGGACGTTCTTTATCAGTCTTGACTTTGATGTCAGCAGGTCTGTTGACGGTAAGGATTTAGGATTCCAGGTCTTAAAATGGAATGGAAAATGGTATACTTTGTCTGAAATAGGTCCAGGAGAACCTATAGCCACCGGCAAGCCTTTTAGGGATTCCTGAAAAGTACACCTTTTCCTAGCCCGAAGGGTCTCGCGCTCAGCGTTTGACATGTGAGACTTTAGAGCAGAAAAGGTTACCTTTACATATTTATCGCTACCGACATGTCTTTATCTTCAGAACGAAAGCTATTTTTTGCCAGGTTACGTAATTCTTTAACTTTATAAACCAGTCTAATCTCTGCTACTCTTGAAATCTTCTGGAACATCCATCGAATAAAGACCTTTGCTAGGAAAAGGCTGCAGTTTTGGAATGTACGTATATGTATGTATGTTTGCATGTATGTATGAATCAAAGATTTAGTTTTCTTCTAGGTGCAGACATGCATCTCGGTGACACAGAGTCTTCCTTTTCCATTTTCTATTTTCCGTCCTCCAACCTTCATAGCGCTGTGTTCTTAACTTGTTTTAGAAGGGTTGCCGTTTGGATGTTCGAAAGCAAATGTTCTCAACGCCATCTTAAGGTGTTTGTTGTACCCCTTGTCGCTCTTTCAGATGATACCCTTCGTCAGCGCTACAGCGGAGGCACATAACATGCACTCAATATTGTGTGCTTTCTTGTTATTGTATTCCTGAGGGAAACGATTTGCACCCGAGCTGACGTTAGTCAGTTTAGTCACGGTGATGAGACGTTAACGAAACCCATGCACGTGCACTGATAAGGTTTTCATTTGAAAAGATTGTCATCCACAGCTGTTTGACTCTTTGATCTGAGCTTTATGGAGATATCAGCTTCTAGAAACAGCATGTTAAACGTGTCCAGAATTAGATGCA